AGTGTGAAATTTATAAGAGAAAAAGAGACAATGCATTTACAGCTACCGGGCAGTAATTTTATAAGCACCAAGCTAATATTACTTGGTAATGACCGGTCGCTAACCCCCCAAAAATACACTCTTTGATATAAGCTTTCGAACGAGTGGTCAACCATCTCTATCTTTCCCCGTTCTCGAGATATTTTGTTTCTAAATTTGTGGTACCTCTATATGTATGTATGTATGTACGGCCCAATAACGGTCGGGTGGGACCCCCCGTATCTCGGCTTCTCTTGGGCCGATTCCAATGAACCTTGTTACTCTTGAACATTGGCCTGACAAGGTTCAGTACCCAAAGTTTCATGTTCCTATCTAGTCTGGAACCCATTTTTCTAGAACGCTCAAAAGCCGCAATTTGGCATTGGATCTAACTTTTCGTAGGTTTTTGCTATTTGGCTATTGTTTGGGAGTGGATATGAGTTAGTTTGAGTTGATTTGAGATGATTGGGTGAATTTCTGTGGGAAGAGCGGGATAAGGTATGGGTTATGGGTCCCCGGGGCACTGGCCAGTGCAGTGATATATATATATATATATATTATATATATATATATATATAATATATATATATATATATATGTGTGTGTGTGTGTGTGTGTGTGTGTGTATTTTTTATTCGCAAACAAAAGCACATATACATATGCGTGCATGTATGTGTGGTTCATGTATGGCCTTGCATAGTTAAACAAAGCAATATTTATATTGTCTTAAACCTCGAGAAAATTTTTCCCCATTTTTGGAAACAAGTTTGAAAAGAACTGTTCATGTTTTCCCATATTTATATAGATACGTAGTACATGACTCTCTGACTTTGGTTTTTCATATATGAAAAGATTAAAAACCTTCAGAAAATAATTTGATCACCTACCAAACGTTGCATATTCATTATTGAGTTGAACTTGAACAGCAGGTAAATTGGGCCATAACAGTTTCAGCTGGAAATAGTTTCCGGTGGAAATTACCCAACAGGCGTCCAAAATAGACAAGGCGAAAATTGCATGGCGCAATGTGGAAAGCACACACGTGCCAGCATAGGAATGATCAACGATTGGGAACGGCGGATGACTGAAGGCCTACGATTTTTATGTAGGATCACAGGATCAGCCCAAACGCCGGGGTGAGGAGAGGAGTAAGGGTGAAATACCTCAGGGATAGTGTTCTCGGGTTGCTTTAAGATCACTACCAGTGGTCAGTTTATGTAAGCTATGATATGTAATCATATTGTCATCTAATCAATAACCAATAACTTTCCCATTACTGTAAATACCCTCTTAAACACGTCTTATCTTCCGTTACTCTTTATATATAATTGTATAATAAGTTCCTGTTTCTTTTAGTAATAATGATTATGATAGTAATGATAATGATAATCAGGAACAATGATCATAATAATGATAATGATATAAGTAATAAT